TCACAACAAAGAGGGACGATATTGCCCACCGAGTGTAATGAAATGTGCGAAAGGGAGGGCGCGAGAGGCAATCACGGGGGCGGCTTTTGGCGGGCGGGTGGAGAGAGAGAGAGAAATCTGTGTGTGAGGAAAAAATTTCCCAGTGTTGTGGGCGCGCAAATTGAACAACTTTTCCATCATCTTCAAAAATCAATATGGGACATGAAGGGGCCATGATTTCGCCCCATAATAGAAAGATATTTTCCAGAAATCACCCGAAATTGTATTGCAGGGTGAATTTTCGGTGGGGTCGCACCACCAGCTTTACTGCTCGGGCTGTTTTTGGGTGGGTTGGCGGAGACTATTAACGGGGTTCTGCCGCCTCACGCGCACTTCTCTTTTAATTTTGCCCTGCGAGTCATTTTGTGCGCCGCAAACACCCACACAAATTGGGGATGTCGAGAGGGAAACAAGTCCATAAAGAAGAAAACGAAATTCTTATGCTTGGGTGCTTTATTACAGAAAAAATAAATTATGGCAGGAGGTTTTAATTAAGTGCTTTTCATCTTCACTGCGTTCAAGATCTCGTGACATTGCGCTTAACGGTAAATCTGAGGTCTTTTGCATATTAGAGACAATGATAAAAGAGGAAAACCCATTTTTGTATAATACTTGCATTATTCGTAATTGAAACAACTAAAAAATGTGCAAAAACTAGAATAGTGAAGCTGAATCTGATCTATATTGAGCTACAGATTCCATTATGTCGCTGATCTCCGATTTAACTCGTGGTTTAACGCCAAATCTAAGTCTTATAAGTTTTTAGACGCTCTAACTAGTCACTATCATAGAAGGCGGTGGGGCAGCATTGCGCACCGGGGCACCATTGTATTTAATGTTTATCTAGTAAGAACGCTAGTTTCAAGTATTGTTTTTTTTACTAAAAGTTAGATTTTAGGGTGTTCTATCATCACTAGCCACAAACAGCCGCTTAAAATTATTTAATATATGAGATTAATCGTCTAAACAATGCTGCCCCGTTGCACAATGCTGCCCTATCTCCAAACATAAAACACTTCTTATATAAATATTTCAAAAAAGAACTTCAAAATAATTATATATTTTAAAGCATAAGTAAGAATATAATTCGAAATAAGAGTACTTCCAATTTAATGTTAATAGGTATAATGCGTTGGGAAGTGTTATTTTTATTGGCACCACTGTTTATTGGAGAAAATTTTACACCATCGGCAACGGGCAGATTCAGCTATGGAATTTCTAGACATAAATTACAAGAATTTTCTCTCTTGTTGGGATTTTTGTTTCCAAAAGAACCAATTTTCATAAAAACAGTTCAGCTTGTATGCACACAGCAGTCACCCTGTTGGCTTGCCCAATAAACTATCATATTTTCTTGGTTTACAAGACACCTGTCGCAGTGCTACTTAGGCGTGAGTTAATAAAATTGGACATCAAAGTTTTTTTTTGTGCGAATTAAAATTGGGCATCGGTTTTTATTGGCATTAAAATATGAAACTAATTTGAGTGGCCTTTTGATCCGCAAGGCGTATCACGCGGGGCGTAAAAAATAGATTGGGAAGAGATGGAGGAAGAGTGTGTGTGTGATGGTATTTGATAAAATTTCACATCGTTAGCGCACAGAAAGCGAATATGGCAATGCTTTATGGTCACTTTTCTTTTATTTCCCACTTCGCCTCCTCTCGCGCGCCAATCGCGGATAAATCAATAATGAGAGAATCACAATATGAGGTGGAATTAATTCGGAATCATCATCAGAAATTGGATAATGTCGATTTGGGCTGCGTGCGAGACGCGGCCCGAGAGCGCACTCTTCCGCGGCCTGCGGTTATCCTTATCATACGTGGCGGCGCGCGAGCGAGAGGGAGAGAAGCGAACAACGCATTAGAGGTTTCTTCTTAACCATGTAATATTATAACTATTGCAAACAGCTTTAATTCAATCGCAGGTCTGGGGAGATTGATTTTTAATCAAATTTAATCAATGGTCGTGTTGCCGGCAAGTGAGAAGCGAGTCGCCACCAATCGCAGCCCGCGAGAGGCGGCACCAGGCCCAATCTGCGCCGATGCCGAACTCACACAACGCAGCCATTTCGTACTGGCAGTCAGTGGTCTCCGGACTCTGCGGAGGGCACGCCTCTATTTTATTGATAATTGCGCCCCGCGCGCCGCCCCGGCCCCTTTCGCCACACCGAACGATTAACAGCCGGCAAGCGATATTTTCAGGCAGATTGAATATAACAGTTCGTTTCAGTTCTCTGTGAATATTCAATGTGATTCTCGTAACCGCCGCCGCGATCTTTTCACCAACTGAGCGTGCTATATACATACATAGTGCCGCAGTCGCGCATATTTCCAGCATTTGCACACACTCTGTAATTTTCCCATAGCGCGATTTCAATCAACAATCATAGATTAGTGGCAAATTAATATTAATTAAATGGAAGAAGAATCAATTGACACGCCAGCAATGCACAATTATTTATTCACACTCGGACTTTTGCGCGCGATAAAATGCATTTAAATGTCGTGTGTCGCGATTTTCTCATGTGCAATTTGCCGATGATTCACTGCAATTAGTGGCGATTTATGAACATTGGCGAGAAAGTTCGCATCCTCAGAAAAGTGCGTACAAATTGACTTCTTCTCGCGCTCATTCAGTGACACAGTGAAATATCATCGTTCGCCAACAATGGATATAAAAATATACCTGCGAAAGAAGGCGTGAGAAGAGAGGATATTAGATTAAAAAAAAAAAGAAAATTTGTAGGGGAGAGAAAAATGTAAGTGGATGGAAAGAAGTGCGATAAGACATAATTAATCATTTCACCGAAAAATGATTAATTAATAAAACATGGCGTGCTGAATTATAAATTTTCTGGAGGATGTTGAGAATGGCTGAGATGTGATGTGTAAAGTCAAAAGAAGGGGGCGAAGAAATGCCTTTCCGCCGGCTCGACTTTTCCACCCACGGAAATTCTATGTAGAATTTTGTGCGATCCATTTGAATTATTCATCTCGACATTCGCTTATTCACCACGAATTTAATTTTCTCGCAGTCAATTCTATTGATATTAATTCAAATATCGCTAATTAAGAGAGAGATAAATTTTGAAAAGTGTTTGTCGCTATCAAAATTAATGAAGAAATATGTGGAATACAACGGAAAATATTCAGATTCCATTTGGTATGATTAATATTCTATATTTGCTGGCCGTGAAACATAAAACAGTCCGACGGACATTGGAATCTCACGGCATTCAGGCAGGAATCATGCTGATTTTGGCCGCACATTTAAAAATGATCAGGAGAAAATTCTCACAAAATTTCATCGGAAAATATTCACAAATTTTTGCGTTGATAAAAATTCATTTGCAGAAAGAAAAATATTCGATTCTCAATTAAACAAATTTGGGTAATTTAGTTATATTTGAAATCAATTCGGATGAAATTTAATGTTTTTTTTCTATAAAAATTACCCAAAAATATTTTAACTGAAAATTCTATCAAGATTTGATGGTTAAGACAAGAAAAATGAATTTTTCTCTATCGAAAATATTGGTAAATATATGTTAAATCACAGAAATAATGGAAGAATGATTAAAAATAGGAAAAAAACCTATTTTTAAAAATAAAAGTGCGTAAGAGATATAAAATTAACCCCATAGCGACGAGAAAAATTATAATTTTTCATTTCCTGTATTTAAAAGAAAATAACAATGAATACTTTGATGGAATTTTTCACGAAGAGTTAAAGAATTTGACTCAAAGTCGTTGCGAAAAGCGTTTTTATAAAATTTTCTAGACAGAAAATCACTGAAATATCGGAATAATCTATAAACTTGAGATGTTTTAATTAGATAAACATACTTGCTAATTGGAAATGCAAATTGAAAAACAAAGTATTTAGTGTAATATCATTGCCATTGGCTCGAGAATCTTTTTATTCTCGTGCAGAGAATTTTTCCTTTTATTGAATGTATGACATTTAATTGGAGGATTAATGGAATTGTGTCTCTCCAATTATCAATTTTACATGCCTTGCTTCAGTTTGGACTGATTAAGGCCTCATTGTGTTCACAGCGCAGGCATTTCCTGCTCAAACACGAAATCACTGACAAGATTTTGGTCATAAATTATCTGCGAGTAACCTTTTGAGAAACTCGACTTTACACTCTTTTTTAGTGGGATAAAGCCAGTGTTGATTTAATTAATGCGCAAGCACTAAATCCAGTTTCGCCAGTAATCACACACGAATCTAATCTTCCGTTGGTGGTGTTTACTAAAACTAGCAAAGTATAAATTAATTAATAGAACGGAATATTAAATTAAATTTCATAAACATACATAATCACTGACAGTGCCCGATGATCCCATTTCTGAACTGCGGCAAAAACACACGCTTCAGTCATCTCCTTGATGCTCAACTTGGCCTGTCGCTTTTTCCCCGAGACAACAAATAATTTCCCAACAATCGACGATAAGAAATGGCCAGAGAATGTGTATTCCCTGGACAGCGATTACGGGCCACTTTTTGACCTAAAGCCTAGATTACTCCGTAGGATTATCGACTTGTGTCGACAGCAAAGAAAGACATTTTGTTTCATATAAAAGTCTTATAAAAAAGAGGAAATATAATGCCAACATGTATGCTTGCTATGTATGTGCGTCTCAATGGATTTTCCCCCATTTTCCTTGGCCCGGGCTTTCACATATTTCTGTTTTATATTTTCCCATTAGGCGACAATTTGAAGGATTTACACATTTTGCGTTTGGGATAAGAGGGGCATTCTCCATGTTCTCCAGAAAATTATGATTCTTCCTGTTGAGTTGCGAGATTGCCTACAGAGCCAGTGATAATTTCAGGACATTGCCAGTGCGACATAGGGGATAATGTGAGGTGACAGACTCGCACCCATGCTTTAGTGATAGTCGCAATCGTTGCATGCACAACTGGACTGGGTGAGACTCTCCCAAGCGAAGATGGTGTTGGAGCATCAGAACTTGCTGCCGAGCCTGCAAGGGGGCGCAGGAGGGCTGCAGCCGTCGGCGCTGCAGTTGTACGCGGCCGCGGCGGCCCAGCTGGCGCCGCGTGCCAGGGTTCCGCCGTGGGCGCCGTTCCTGCAATTCGGCGTGCCCAGCATGTTCGGCGGCCCCTTCCTCAACCGGCCGCGCTTCGGACCCACCTCGGGCGGCGGCGGCTCGGGCAGCAGCGGACCATCGGCCGCAGGCCTGGCCGCCACCCTGGGCAGCGGAGGCGGCGGCGGCGGCCTGGCCACCATGAATGGCATCAACCATCCCAGCGGCCTGACGCTGACGCGCACAATGCCCGGGCCGCCCAGCGAGGATTCCAATGAAGACAAGGGTAAGTTCCACGCTTCCTTCCTGCCTAAAGTCACAGTCAATAAGTAGTTTGGTTGGTGTTCCAATATTTCAGAAGAAATACCATCAACAGGATAATCTAAGAAATGTTTCTTTCATAAAAATTTGAAAAAAGTCTCATTCACAAGTTTATCTTTGTATATCTGGATAAGATTTGATTTCTGTGTGTTTTCTGTGAAAAGTTTGATACGAAATCTGTTTTTTCCTACAGTTCTTGATGTTTGTTTGAACGAAGAATTGAAATATTTAAAAGCAAAGCACCCAAAAAGGAACAAACAAACAGCAAAAATTGAGTCTTATTCTACCATATTTGTAATAAATAAAGAAAAAACTTTGGATAATTTTCCAAAATATAACACTTTTTAACCCTTTATGGCCGAATTGGACACGTTTGTCCCTTAGTATTTAGCTAAACTATTGTATTTTTGAAGGGGAAATATTTAAATTTAGAAATTATTTGTTTCAATTCTTTCGGATATTGTTAAAGGGTTATGAATTATATTCTAGAATGTTCTAATCCTGCCTTTTTTCAATTGAGAGCAAGAGTATGTCATATACGTATATTGGTTATGCATAATTTGAGAAATATTGCAAAAAACAATTTGTGGTGAAACTGCAAAAATACGTAATGGAAAAGATTCACTTTGTGGTGGCGCAAATGGTTCATCCTCATTGGAGTTATCACGGAATTTCCCGAGGGTCTCCTGGTTCGTTGGGACTTGTGGCAAAATTATTCCTTATGTTCCTGCACAGTATTTGGGGCGGAAAATTGCTTAAGGTGCTGCTCGGTATTGGGGAAAGGCCAGAGAAGTGAGCAGCGGGAAAGAATTGATTACTAGCCACCCCTCGAGTAATTCCCTCATCTCGCAACACTGGCAGTCAATGAGGAGGGTATTGAACCTCATCATTTTCATTTTATTACACACATTATTATTTCATTTTAAATCAGATTTGTAACATTTGTGGTAAATAACTATGTTATACGGATTTTCCCCTCGTTTATTCCAATTCCTTTTGTTCCCTGTGCCCATTGAGGGATGCACGAGGGGAATGTGTTTTCCTCAAATGTTGCCGAATTTTTTCATCACCTCCCGACGCTTAAGTGGCTTCTGGGTGTGACTCCGGATGAGGGATGCTGGAGGGATTCACTCGTCTTCTTTTCGCCCTGCTTCCCGGCTCACGCGACGATGAATCGGGAAGTGATGGCATCTTGTGCTGCATTCCCGTGGGTGTAATAACTTTCGATGAGTGTATCTTTTAACAAAGTTTTGTGTTTACTCGACACTTTGGGGGTAGCCGAGGCGCATGAATTCTTTAATACATTCCGCCGTGCCGATATTCTTATGCATATATTAGCAATTTGGACGCCAATTCTGCACACTGCGCCGTGAAATAAAACACTGACGAGAGCCCACATAATGCACAGCTTGGAGTCCGAAAGGCGTCATTGTCGATTAGACTCCGAAAAAGAAAATAATTAAGCACCTCCCTGTTTTCATGTTGTGATCTAATTGTATTTAATAAAATGCCCGAGCTGACGACTCCAACACCTACAGGTAAATGATCTCCCGCTTCCCATTCTCTGCACGGCGAAAAGGCCGAGCAAAGGCTGCAGGAAATCTGTGTGTGTTGGTGGATGGAAAGGGAAAATCGCGTGATAGCATTGCTCCGCCTCAGTGTAAATATGCTTAGCTCCATTCCTTGTGCTTATGCCATTCGGCGCGGTGTTCGTTTGCTGCCTTGATTGAAGAATAACGAGCCTCTCATATTAGTCACTTTGTGCGGAAAAATCCTCAATCTCTCTACGCAACAATTGAGGAGGAACAATCGATTGAGAAGACAAACTCTTAAAGTGGAATTTCACGTAATTTGTCTAATGTAAATGCTTACGAGAACATAGTATAATTGCTAGAGAGAAATGCCATGAAAGGAAAGTGGGGAAAACTGTGTCCGGGATTTGCTGTGAAATGACAAAATTACAATATTAAACACGTTAAACTTTACTGGATTTCATAATGATTGGACTGATACAATTGTTGTCAACAGCTATTTAAAGTATATAACCTTCTATGATTTGTCGTAAAATATAATTAGTCACTCACTAATAATAGTGAAATGTATTAAGACAATTTTGCAAAAACTTCTCTAGACTTTTTTATGCAAACGATTCCTACATAAAAGAGGCAAAACTTTAGGAATTTTGTGGTGTATTTTGGTTTCATTTTCCATCAATGTTATATATAAATTTAGTATAAGATATATGAAAATCGAACTAAATTGTTTTAAAATTAGACAGATTAGTGTTAAACTTGGCATATTTTTTTCTATTATTGCTATTTTTCTGCTTGCACTTTAAAATTGAGTCTGTAAATAACCAAAACACAAATTATTTCATGAATCTTTCAATTTTATTGTTTCACTTTTACAATGCATTACAAACCATAAATTGCTTTTCCATCCTACAAAATGGTTCCATTTAAACATGTTTGGGGGAGAAAAAATATGGAATAATTTGAATCATCGCCTGTAGTGCTTTCCAATTGGCTTGCAGTGAGGCATCAAAAAGTCATGTATGCTGACCCAATATTCAGCGAATAAAACGTCATGCATAAAAATTAGCATAAAAAGAGCATATTGTTTCTTAGAACGCCCCTCACTTAAACCCAGTAGATTATATGCATGCCAAATAGGGACGTTGTGTGCCACAAATAAAAGCTCACGAGAAATATATTGTAAAATTGCTCGCAGAGAAAATTAATTGGCATTTTTTCAATAGGATTTTGTTCATTCCTCTCTCTCTCGACGTCTAGTGAACGGAAAAAAAGAAGTCTCATTCGCATAAATCAAAAAGGCACCGACCAATATTAATATGATAAAGTAGTCAGAATTGTTGATTGATTCCCGCTTCTAATACGCATTTGCGGGGTGGAAAGAGTTCAATAAAACGCATTTATCATATTTGTCTGTCGTTCCTTTTTCCATCTCTTCAGCTTGTATGCCTCTTAATTAGCATAACAAATGACCTCATGAGAGAGGCGGCTTCGAGTCTCCAACTAGAATTTCTCTTGTCGGCAAAGTGTTTTAATGGAAAATTTTATCTCATTAACAAATTAAATTAGCAATATTATAGCATAACACAATTGCTGTCATAGTCCACAATAAAGAAAATGCTGTAATCACGAATTATTTTAATTAACTCATTCCCTCTCGCGTTCTTTCGCCTTTTTCGACTGCTGAGCCTCATTTAAAACAATTTGTTTTGATTCCACACACAAAATGCTCGTGTGTGTGTGAGCATGGCTCCGCCAGTTTGAAATTAAATGTAATTGAAATTCAGCTATTTCCACATTTTACTTTTACAATAAATGACGATTGAATTGATAAGATAAGTTGTTCATAATGGCGTTGCGCTGAAATTGCACCTCGGCACGGCAGAATCTGCCCAGGAACGGTGGGCACTGATACCGCACGGTCTCCACCACGTGAGTTCCGCCGCCGGGGCTGGCCGCAAACGCGAAGCCACCCTCCGCCCTCACTGGGATAATTGGCGTGGCCCGGCGAAGTCGGCACGGAAGCGGCGCACACAAATTAGATTACAATTAATTGCTGGCAACGCAAGTCACTTGCGACTTCACTTACGGCAGTAGAGTCCGTAGAAGAAGCACGTCCTGTGGCTGGAGTCCACACTCAGCCGCCGGACGCTGACTTCGGCCTCGGCGCTGTTCAGCCAGTGCGGCCAGTGAGCCAATTTCTCCGTGTACGTCACGGAATATCGCCAGTGATCCGCATTGCCAGTGTCAGAGGTGATGTAGAAGTCCAATCTGTGCGGAAAGAGTCGCCCAGGAAGGCCATAAATTTACATTTATTCATAGATTTTCACTTAGAGACTGCAAAGAGGGAACAAGAGACAAGTTTCAGCACAGTTCACGAAGAATTTAAGGGCAAATTTTATGAACAGAACAAAATGTTGTGATATATTTTAAAGATTTATGCATCTGTGAGACATGAAGAGATCGTGAAATTTCATTTACTTTCATAAATTTGGGCTGAACAAGCATTTTCTAATCTCTAAACCTAGAATATAAATGAATTTCTGCATGTTGTTATATCAGTCTAAGGGAATTTCTCAGCAAATAGAACAAGACAAGTGTTAAAAACACATTAGCGATCGCCTTCAATAAGCCGCAGTTACATAAATTTGAACAAGAAGAACAGTGGAAAGCAGAATTTACATGAATGTAGTCGTTTTTGGAGCAATAAAAGTTTCCCTCCTCAATTTGTGCAACATGTTTGTTCGCAATTTTCAATTTTCACATAATTTTTGCGGATTTTCATGCATTGCAAAAAGCTTGTTTACATGTTCTGATTCAAAATGTAACTGCCACTTACATCAGTTGATCTCACGCTTCAATTTTTTTTCAATTTTAAACTGTTCCATAAGAAAAAAAACTTCCTAATTCATGTCTCTCAATAGAAATTGCATATTGCTAATTCTCAAATGTGATGTTTAGAGACTTGTTCTCATTAGGATACCCGTGCAATCAGTGTATTAGCATAAAAATTAATTAAATTCACTTCACGTACCACCTTAAACGCTTTAATTGAGATTGGTCGTCTGGTAAATCGCTTGAGTACATTCTGTAACTGTCTAACACTTTGCTTGTGTTGCCTTTGCCTGTGTTCTTTTTTCTCCGCACTCATTCATAAACAATTTTCTGAGAATTACGCATATGTGAGAGTCTCCTATCGGGCCATATAGTTAATCATAGTGATTTGCCAGTTTCCTTTCGCATAAGATCTCCTTATATTGTTTTAGATAATAATGTGTATGGCGAGCGCCTAGTAGTTGTACAAAATTGAACAATGCGCGGGGCGGAAAAGTCATGTTTATACTCACATGGTTGGATTGAGCAACTTCATTTTGCTGAAATCGGCCACAAATTCCCAAACTTTCTCGGGCTTCGCATTGGCGATGGTCGTCTCGGAGCGATGCTCGTTGTAGCTTGATGAAAAGATCGCGTAAACGACGAGGAAAACAATTCCGTACAGTATCAATTTGCGCTTGTTACATCGTGTGAAGTGAATCATTTTGGTGCCTCCTTGGCTCTGCACACCGCGCCAATATCGTCCTCCGTCTGCAAATTGTACTTAATGTATGGCAAGACCAATTTGTGAATTGATATTTCTATTTGCAATGCTAATGCCAGGGGAGATCAGCACTATTATTATGCTCTTCCCGCGGTCAAAAATTACCCAGAGATTCCCAACAATACACTGTGATGTGTTTGGCTCACTGAATTGCCGAGTCGAACTGCTCGAGGAAGAGGAATCTGTGTTCTCTCTGCAGAGACGCTTTGATAAACATTCACTCAACCACTTAGAACATAATTTACAAGTGTTGGTCTTATTGAATATGTGTGCTCGAGACAAGGGGAAGGAATTATGGTTAGAAATGGTGTACAACGCTTCATGGAAGAGTGTAAATAATCTCTGGACTTCAGAAAGAAAATCAATATCTATTTTTATTGATAGCTAGCGTAATTACAATGCTTTTTTAGTTTGTTTTCTAGGTTATGTAAATAAATTTACACATATTTAGTCACAAGAAACATTAATTTCTGCTCTAAAGTCGACATTATTTTCACCTATCGATCAAAATTGTTTATTTTCACTCTGTAAAAATCGCGATTTTGGAAACTGAAGAAAAAATACACATTAATTTGTGCTGAAATTAAACATAACCTCAAAAATACTATTTGATCACCAAGAAACGTAAATTTTTATAGACTCAATTTCTCAATAGACACAGCTTGATTAATTATTAGATTAGGTTTCTGCATAGAAATTGAGATTGAAATGATAAAGAGTGGTGTACAGATTGAGATCTATTAACCTCCCCTTGGCTGCAGATTTTCCTTAACTTCGACAGTCATAAATGTGCCGAATGGCACATTGAAAGTCGTCTGCATCTCAATCTTTTCTCCGATTCATGGTGTAACTTGGGAATAAAATTACCATGTGTTAAGCACTGTGCCTTTTTCACGGATGAAAAGAACACAGAAAACACACAGAAAACTTACACTCTTGTGTGTCTGTTAGTCTCCGGAGAGAATTTTGTGTAAACATATCGTTTTTATCTTGCGCCTTTCCTCGTCTTTCTTCTCACATTTTTGCTCTTGGAGTGAATTTCAATCCCGACAAGATATGCTTTGACACTATTACATTGATCAATATATGTATGCACAAACTTCCAACCCAGTAGTGATGATAGACAATGTGCTGGAAAGTTCTGTTTGCAAGTAAATTATAGTCACACTGAAGAGGAATTTCATGGTAGTACAGAAGGACTTTCCCTCAATACATTTTTCATGTGGCTTTTGGGATTTGTGGACAAGTAGGGCTAAAGTGAAGGGCTTCGATGAATACAGGTTAACACAAAAATCATATGCTCAAAACATGCAATTTGGCCCTCCTTTCAGGGGACCAAATGGCGAGATAGCCCAGAAGGGGACAATTGAAAAATCAATAGTGTCTCTCTGCGCCTGAGCCAAATTAACTTAACAATTCTCAACTGAGTGGACAAATATTTTATTTACTTATCACACACAATTCGGCCAAAAGTGGGGCCAAATTCATTTGATTTATTACAGAATTAAAGTGATTGTTGAGAGCTCTTATTGCTCTCGGCAATCATTTTGCCCTGAAAATGCCCAGCTGGAGGTAAAGAAAATTGTCACAGTAGCACGAAATGTTTCGTGTGTCACATTACATGATGTTCCACATATTAAGCAATTTTGCATAAAAGTCTTTTGTCAGAATTTACAGACATTTTGAAATTGATTTGTCACATTTCTTATAGCAGCAAATTGACATTAGAAGACATTTTCTAAGTAGCTAAATGAGCCCAATTTGTCATTCAATTCAAAATGATTAAATTTACATTGCAAATAAATTTACATAATTGATTTGTCAACGTCGATTTGTTGAAAAATTACACTTATGCTAATAAAAATAGAACAACGAAGGAAATGTGTCTCCAAAGACTACTCAATTGTAGTGCACACAAGTTTAAATTTGTCCTTTTTATCATTGATAAAAATAGATGTGAGAAAGATAGTAGATTGAGTGGTTGAAATTGTCATAATTTAGCTACAAAGCGCAATGAAAGGTGGGAATTTTATTCAATTAAGCAATTAAAAACTACCGTGAATTGATAAGATAATGTAGATAAACACTTCCTTCTTCTGCAAGTGTGCAAAAATTGGGAATAATAGCATATTTCTCACTAGGATAAATATCTTATAAGGCTTGAAACTAGCTATAATTCAAGTCAATCAATTCTGGGGTGAATTATTGCAGAATTTCTAATTAAATCGCAATATTTCTCTGGAGCTGTTATTCGTGAATTTTGCAATGTTGTGCCAAAAAAGGCTCTTGAAGAAGTGATGGACATCTCAATCTCAGCATTGCGTGCTGCAATCGCCCTGGAATATTGACAGTAACATGTGTAATTCTATTATGCTGGTCACTTTTCCACCAGCGACAATTGGCAATGCAGCACAATTTGGCAAGTGCGAGTGAAGAATGATGAATCCTCAGAGCGCACTTGTATCACAAATAAACATATGGGTGGGCATAAATTCATATTGTGACAGAGTGGATGGCCATTTATTCGGGAGTCAGTTGAATGCGAGCGAATCAAACCCCAGTTTGCTTCTTTGTGGAGATTTATGGGTCCCCGGAGACGGTGAGAGCTGCCGCCGTCGAGGATGACGGGAATTGCTGGCTGTAACCGCGCTGTTTGGTACAAAACCACCGCCGGCTGGGGGAGGCATTTCAACTTTGATTTCCTACCCTATCGCTCAAGTGCGTGGAATCTCGCCCTCTTCTCCCATGCGTAAACCCACACCTCGAGTGCGGGCCGCAATATAGAGGAGAGGAGTTATAATCACATGTCACACAATGTTGAAGCGCCCGGTCCTGATTCCATCTCTTGGTGGAAATTAATTATTTAAATTCGGGTAAATTAAGATTCTGCACAGACACGGGCGAAAGGGTGACTGTTTGCCATCTCCCACGATGATTCAGAGACAATGCCACGCAACATTTGCCAAAATATATCACAATTAATTTACTCAATTTAATGGGTGTCCATACTGTTGTCTTCGGGGAGAACACAGGCCCAAACATTTATTTACAAGGCTTGTTAACAGGAGAAAGTTTACCCAAAATCACCACCCAAAGAGCAAATATGGTGATGCTCGGAGGCCGCACCAGAAAGTTCACACAGTGCGGAATGAGAGGCTCAGGATGGAATATTATTAAGAGATTAATAATCAATTCACTGGCTGTCATCCACTCACTTTTGCATGCACATTAACTGCGCGGGAAAGTGCGAAAGAGGAAAACGAACACTTAATTATTTGTGATTAGAATGAAAAGGAATTCCTTCTCACACAGCCAATTACCACACTGTGCACACACTTTAGCCTTTTTCTGGCCTCTGCAACTTTATTTGGTATTTAATGACTATTTAATTTCTTTATAGCGCAAAATTCAGCAACACCTGCCCTGCGCCATTATTACTTTTTCGTCTTCATTTGCCACACATTCGCCCTCCTGAAATGGATCCCATGGCCTTTTTTTGCGGGTGGAGGACACGAATGTATTTGCCACTAAAGTGCCTCAATCGCTCTGAGAAGAGAATACCAGCACACGTGAAGAAAGCATTAACTATGCTTAATTTCACTGGGAATATTTTCAAGAAGTACAAAAGCCATGCATTGTATGAATATATTTTAAGTGTTTCATTTATCTTAAAGTCAGATGTTACCGACGGCTCGAAGCTATGCTATTTCAATGCGAAACGATGATTACATTCACACCATCAGCATATTTTTTGCATGTCTGCAATGTTCAAACTAGAGGGCAATTTTTATTCTTCAAGAAATGTCACTTAATTTCACTTAAGATAAAAAGCGTAATTTGCAAACCTTGAAGAAATTTCGCAGTGACACTACTTCAAGAATAATTATTCGCTAATTAAATAATATCAGAGGAAAATCCTGGGAAATATTTAGCTGACATATCTTTGTGATACTATGTTAACAAAGAAGTGTTTCTTAGTGTGGATTGAAATATCTTTATGAGAAAGTTCTTAATAGGGTTTAGAAGACAATTTAAATAAAAATGCGAATTCAATAGTCGAATAATATTCGTAGATAAATTAAAAAAAGATCTTCTACCATCTTGATGGCAAATCTGTTCCAATTTATAATGTTATCACGTTTCTAATGAGTTGATTAGCTGCTTCGCAGTATAAGAGGACAATAATTCTGACACCAAATTGATCTGAAATTTGCATTTAAATCGTCACAATGGTCAAAATCTTCAGGATATGATATTTAAAGTGTCACAAAAGTGTTCTATATACAATTAATATATAAAGTTATCGTTCATTTGTGTCTTCTTCATGTGCAAACAATGCAAAAAAAAAAACGTATTGAAGTAATTCGTCACAGTCAAGGATGGCACACAAATCATGTCAAATTGAAAAAGCCAGTAAATTTCTTATCGCAACCAATGATTCTGAATACAATTTCACGGGTTTTGGAATGACAAAACAGTATTTTCACACAACTACGAAGCCACCATATCTCAGGGATTATGCTAATTTTACACTAATTCCCCCTCGCTCGCCACTGACTGGCGGTGTGCAAATGGAAGAATGAGTTTCCCAATGCAAACGTTACGCCTCCTTTTATCAGATTTTATTATCTGCAAATTAGACCTTTTTATTTTCCAGTTAATGCAAAACTAATCTCTGCCTCACTTCGCCTCGTCCTTGCCCATGTGCGATGCGGGGAAGACAGGGTGAAGATGCCACTTGCCAGCCACGTGACAATTGGGTTATTTACCAGTTCGATTAAGGGCACGTGTCTAGTGTTTGGCTCTTAATACGATATTTGCGCATTTCTGGCGGATTAACTCACCACCGCGCGATGGATGGGCAAACTTAAGTGAGAGCCTGCGAGAGGGATTTGGTGTCACATCAGCGCGACCCTCCTGAGACACTCCGCATGTCTGAGTGGTTCAAATGTTCGTTAAGTAAGCAAACATTACAATGGAGATTACACGGCTTGAGGGTGAAATCTGCCCCATTGGCAGGGGCGAGAGAGAGAGAGGAAAGGGGCCAATTTGCCTTTTGATCGGCACAACAGCACTTGACATCCCGCAGCGTTATTTTCCCGACAATAATCACTGACAAACAAATTGGGAAAAATTGAAACATCGAGTTCTCCTAATGGAGCCATAAATTAAATAACTGACACTCTCCTTGATATGGCGTGGACAAAAGTGTTTGAGGCCCTTTTGAAATGGTTGGAAAAAAAGCCCAGTATATTTCATCCCAATAATCGATTGGCACATTATCACAAATTGTCAACCCAATCAATTTTATCGTTAATTAACAGAAATTTATCAAATATTCATTGAAACGAGACGCGCAAGCATACATAATGTACGCGTGCTTTTAAAACAATTTGTATGTAAGCAGATAATTGGTGAGTGCCTCAATAAACACTCAGTCACAAATCATTACTACATTATACATGGGTGCACTTTTTATGTGCACGCCAAACCATTCAATAGCATTACAATGACAGAGAAAATGAGGAAAAACTTATCGCAAAACACTTCAATTATCTCTCCTCCATATGCTGAGATGATTATGTTGTGCTGACAGCGCGCCATTAGAGCGCGATTAATTACATTATCTCCAAATTCCGCCACCAATAAATAACCACGACATTTCCTAATCTTTGCAGGCTCCGCCGTGGACGGTGACGATGAGAGCAGTGCGTCCAAGAGGCGACGCTCGAGAACCAACTTCAACTCTTGGCAGCTGGAAGAGCTGGAGCGCGCCTTCTCGGCCAGTCACTATCCCGACGTCTTCATGCGCGAGGCCCTGGCGATGAGGCTGGACCTCAAGGAGAGCCGCGTGGCTGTGAGTATCGCGAATCAATCACTCGCCACTGTGCCGCCAATGATAAATTCTCCATGCGACACTGCGGGCAGTACATGACAATAAATAATGCCCTTTATCGCCCCTTTATTGACCTCTGGCGTGAATTAATTTGCGGAAGTGCAGTAATGTTAACAAGAGTTGTGGGCACAGGAATATAAAATTTCAATAATTTCTACTGAATTAATATGAACCGTACGCTTTTTGGCTCGAGGAGGAACAAGATTTCGCATAATTCAAAGCTTAACCCTTTCACGACGACAAGCTTCAAATTCTTCTGCTTAGTTATGCGGATTTAGTAAAATTCTGAGCCATTTTGTAGCTCGAAATTGCTATGAAACTAGTAAAAACACTTCTTTTGAGCGTTTTGAAAGAGTTAGAATAACTGTTGGAAGGCGCTTAGAATACTGCCTGATCGCAATGTCTGTCTGCAGGTGTGGTTCCAGAACAGACGGGCCAAGTGGCGGAAAAAGGAGCACACGAAGAAGGGTCCTGGGAGGCCTGCGCACAACGCCCACCCGCAATCCTGCTCCGGCGAGCCCATCCCACCGAGTGAGCTGCGCGCCAAAGAGAGGTACGTAGCTTTGACAGTTGATAGATGAGAGATTTTCACCCTGGCCAACTGACCAGATCCCTCAAATCTGCCCCCGCAAACAGAGCGCGACGGCGAAAGAAGTTGGCCAAAGCGCTGGAGCGCCAGGCGCGGAAGCTGCGCTCCAAGGGCATCACGGTGGACCTGGAGACCCTGAAGGCTGAGTACTTGTCACAGCACCGAGTGAACTCGGACTCGGAGATCGATGACGATGACACACCGATTGACGTTGTTGGCGGCGGCGATTCCAGCGATGAGCCCGAAGATTGTTCCATCACGCGACGCCCGAGTAGTGAGGAATGCCTTGGCGACGATGGTGACGAGTCCACGCCTAAGCTGACCATCCGGCCCAATCCCTTTAGTATAGAGTCCCTACTCTACAACAACACATGAGACCCGTAAGTCTGCGGACACCCAACATTCCACCAGTCGTTTTCCACTTAACTATCTCCCCTTTGACTGCAAGAGATCGCATAGACAATTCCTCATTTCGTGCGCTACATAGTGATGAACGTTTATATATATATTTTATAATTAATATATGACCATAAATTGAATGATAATGAAATATAATAGTACGGGGAATGATTGCCATGAACGTCGAGAGGAAATCAAAATTGCACTGTAATGCTTAATGATCGGTGTTTCGCTGACAGAAGAGGGGCGCGATTAGGTGATGTTCTCCAACGACGTGACAATGTTGGCTCCGCCCACTTAGACGCTCCGCCCAGGCGCATGACAAACACACTTATCATTGAGCATTTTACAGCGTATACCTCAATTTATTTTGAGATATTCCTCGTAATTGTGTAAAGTCCTAAAAATACGTATGCATTCTGATAATGTTCTATTATTTATTCATCCTAAAATGATAACAAGGTGTATCATAATTAAGGTGACACTCAGTCGCAGAATTCCGTGCCATAGAACATCTCTCAGATGTACAGCTTGACTTTAGGATGACGTACAATTCTTGCCATCGTCAGAAAGAAAAAGGTGATCACAGTAGAAGCCCAGTGAACTGTTTGCTCAATTCGCGGCAAAACCATTTATTAGTCAAATAGTACCATGAGAACTGAAGACAACGACTTGGTAAATAGAAGAAGAAACGCATAATGAGAAAATATATGAATACCGAACGAATGATTCTTCCAATCACATCAACGCTGAAATTGTATGTGTTATTAAATAATGCATAATAGACTATTTTAGTGAAAATATCAATTATCACTATCATACAGCATGACTAGTAAGGCATCATGTTAGTGAGATAAAATGGAATATTCTTAGAGGGTTAATGTATAAATTAACTGTATAGCAATACATAGGGTTTTAAGAAGAGATGATTTTGAATTTTATTTTCAATTTCAAACGCAATATATTTCCAGTGACTTGCACTGCATTTATTTAAGAACTCTTATCCGCCGGCATTCTTTTTCAGGAGAGTGCAAAGAAAAAAAACAGTTTCGTCATGTTTATTTGGACATACAGAAGGTGAAAAATTGTATTTTTGGCGATATGAATAAGGCGGAAATGTGCAATATTAGAGACATTCTTCGTGAAAATTGTGCGCTGCTGATAAATTCAATTTCCTAATTTATATATATTGTATTTTTATTTGTTTTTTGGAAAAAGACATTCTACAAATTGTTACTTTGTACTTGCAACAGAACGAAATTATGCAACCAGTGTGTGTATAAAAGGGATAAAAACATAGAATTAGAAGAACACATGTAGGTGGTAAAAGTATTAAGACCGCATTGGCAAAGTAGATAAATTTGAAAAGACATTTATATGTAAATAGCGAATGGAAAAAGTATATCAAAGAGTGAACTGTACATAGAATATTTTTTCCAAAATTACCGAGAAAAAAGAGGCAGTTTGTGTCTGAAATACGGAAGAGAGAGAGAAAATTGAGAGAAAAATGTGACTGCGGTCTATGAAAAAGCTTCGCGGCTCTGCAAATTACTTTCCTGGTTCTATATTTTTGCTCAATCACCGAAGCACGATATTGAATCCTTTTTTTCTGTTTTAACATGTGCAGTGCCACCCAGTGTAATTGCAGTGGGAATAAAATATTGTTCTATTTCCAATATTTATTATCCTCTCTTGATGAGAAAAAACTCTAGAGGAAAATGAGAGTTTCTCTCAATTTTTCCAATTTCGGACAAATTTATTCATTACAGATCAGCGGAATAATGCCATTTTTTGTCAACAATTCAAACGGAACTTCAAATTCATCATTTTTGGTTAGAATCATGGGTAAAATTACATATTTTCATTCAATATCTGTGCCTATTTCACTGATCTGAACCATGTTATTGGAATTCCTATTCATTTCCATTCCTAACAACGTAATAACATGATAAAATGCCTGTCCAGAGGCGAAGAAAACCACCAATTGATTTCATCCTAATAAATTTAGAGCCTTGAATAAATTTTTTGACTTCATTAATAAATAATTTACATTCTCCACATATATTTTCGATATAGATGAAAAGGGAAGAGAATGAAAAAAGCCTACACGAAGAGGTCAGATGAAGAAAAATGTGAAAAATGTCATATCATAAAGTCAATAAGATAATTTTGTGAGGAAGAACAGAGGATAAGAGAGTTGTAAGAAGCTGAGACACACCACAGAAGACGATATAAGCAGATAAATATGATGAAGATTGTGTTAAGAACATCATTTGTGACACAATGGAAGGAACACATATTTATATGTAAATTGCCAAAAAAAAGGAACAGAATGAGAGGTGAAAAAGTGAGAGAGAAGAAGAGAATATTATAAATAATATACATATTTATTCAGAAATTAATTGCCACACTAAATTCACTTTATTGAGTCAAAATCGAAGGAATTCCACACGATTATGAGAATCTTTATGGGGCTACTAACCCATCGGCGTTGTCGTTGAGTCATTGATTTGGATTCCTTTGGCCGCGGTGCTTCGGGAATGATTAAGGAGCGTGTTGGGCCACAAGGAGAAATTCTCTCTGTGCCAAACATCTTGATTAAAGGCGATGGCTGAGCCCCTGGCCAGCGATGGATAATAGAAAAATTTCTCTCCAGCAGTTTCTCGAAGAGGTGTTAAATTCTCATAAATGCCTCATCACCCCGGCTTTTTGTCCCTCGTTTTCTCTTTCTTTTTTTTTCTTTACCACCTCAACACTGTTCGCGCCCCATCATTGATATATTTCTTCACACATTATTTCGATAGCATGTTGAGATGTAAAGGAGATCAGATTGAGAGACGAAAACACCGTGGAGTGCCCACAAAAGGCACCGCAGTGTTAAATGGTACAAGAGAAGGTATATATATTGAGGTGGAGGAGAAAAAGTGCTGGTAAGTTCAAGCAGAACTAAATCGCTGTGATTAATTCTAAACTGGAGCTGCACGCATAAATTGAAAATGTGCAGCACAGCCACGCCACGGCATCGTTAATGCACGTTGTAAATTTATTAATACGAAATAATTGAAATCCACATTTTCTAAATTGAGTCCTCACTTTTCAATCTTGCTCTTTCACGCGCCATCAAAAGCCCAGAGCTCCGCGGCATTCATTCTCTCATGCCACCAATTCCGCCTCTTTAGAAGCCTACACGGCAGTTTCGATTTTTCCTCCCTGGCAGACACATTCAAATATAATTACCATCGCGCAGAGAAAAGAGCAAAGTATCCCCGTGCATGCACACCCAGGTAAGGAGGAGAGGTGGCAAAAAGGAGGTGCGATGGTGTGTGTGTGTGTGTTAAAAAATGGAAAATGTGTAAATGAAAGAAGCGGAGAGAAGCAAATAAATAAACGATGAATAATTAATTTCTACATAGTGTTAATTTCAATGCATAATCCAATTTAATATCCAATTTACTAACACCTTTTCAAACATCTCTCCACAGCCACTCAGTTGCACTCGCTCTCTCACGCGACCGCCAATATCTCTGGCTTGGCTTTTATGTGAAAAATAAATTTATAATGCAACACCGGCAAGGGTGTGAGGTGAGAGAGAGATTGAATTTACAAATCCCGCCGAATATAGGGTGTCCCTGTAATTACAGCCCATATTTGTCATGTGAACTGCCTAATTTGGGGCGCACAACGCAGGTGCTGTAATTGATTTTTCAAAAACTAATTACTACCCCTTCACCATACACGTTCACCGTGAATTGCCGGGCGGAAAGTGAGCTTAATTTCTGTGATTTTCCCACAAATAAAATATACTTTCATGATTGGATAGGAAATGTCCTAGGAAAATCCAATGACACTCTTCGTGAGAAACATGTGTGAATATAATGGAGGTAAATCCTAAGTGGGGAATGAAATGATTTCTATCAAGCAAATGTCATGCTAACTGTTAAGAGACATTCTTTAAGTTGTCCACTGACAGACAGTTGTTGATCCAACGACTGTCCTTTGACATTCATTAAGACTTTCTGAGAAACACACGATTAAGTCAACCATTAGAAGCTGCTAATCGGTGTGAATTAATTACTTGTTTGGCGCACATTTGCCTCGAACATGTCATAACATTTTTTTCAAGAGTCAGTCGGTGAGACATGGGACATGTCCATGGTCTGTCTCTAGATTATTTGTTTATAAGAAAATTTCTCGGAAGAAATTTATGCAATAAATAAAGTTATATTACATTTACTTTGCAGGTCGCTAAATTCGTATAAAAGTTTTCTTATTTATCATCTCGTGACGGAAATGAAATGCGTCAATTTGAATTAAAACTATTAGAGATGAGCGAGTCAATTAGCGGCGATAATATTCCAAAACAAACTCGCGACTAGACAAGATGACAGACATTTCACAGACAACAAAATCATTAAGGGCCATTTGTCACAGACGCAGAATTATTAAATCAATATGTTGTTGTGCCTCCTGGAAGGACAAGAAATCGAAAAAGTGGGGCCCAACTTTTGAGTCATCCTGTCGACAAATTCACTTCAATACGAGCGCGCCTCGAGTAAATTAAGTTGTTCAATTTCGTTCGATTTTCAAATGATTTATGACTTTATGTCCAACAAATTGTTTCGACATTCATTTATCTTGTGAAGATATGAAGTTGAGAATATAATCGTCTTCTTGTACATATATAACTCCTTTGTGGCTTTCGGGCCTCTTTCATCTCTTCCACTTCTATAGGCAGAACAGTTAAGAGATTATTCTTTGCATCGAATAACACTTGGCTGCCATAATTTGGACTTTTGTGTGTACAAATATTCAGGCTGTTTGTTGATGCCTTTTAAATCTCTCTCGCTTTATAATCTCTCACTCTCGCGCCATTGCCTTCTCACTGTTTATATTCGTGACGCGGGAAAATAACAATAACGCACCATTATTGTTAAATATCATTGATAGTGGCAATAATGAAAAAGCAATAGATAAAAAAAAAAGTTGTGTTGAGAAAATCTCAAAATGTTTTCCACAAATATTATTATATTCACATTATTCCTCCAATCATGACTGTTTTTTCTCCGCCACTCGTGATCGTGATCCATCCTTTTCGATACATCTTCCTCTCCCTTTTTTCCGCACAATATAAATAGTGCCGCACAGCCAATCCATCTGCGGCTCTATTGTCTTGTTTTCTCTCCTCACCAGCCGCACAACAATCAATATACACAATAATGAAACAGATTATTTCACAAAAACGCCATTACTTAAATGAATAACAAAATAATGAATGAGAGGAGATAATGAAAACAAGAATTTCATTATTCAATTTTTGCATTAGCAACAATTACTGGTTGGGGTGAAGAAAACTAATTAAAGTCGATTAGAATTGAAGATACGAGCGAATGGGCATTGCAGATGGGAGGGTGACGGAGTTTTAATCTAAAATTGAAATACAACACAAGGATCGAAACCAATTTCCTGGTGACTTCTTGATCTCTGACCTGGGAAATTAATGATTTCACTGACAGTCACTCCGAGAAAAATGAGTAATCTTTGGAATGGCTGGAAAAGTAACACAACAATATATCTCTAAGAGTTGATTAAACCATATCTATTTATAGCAAAGTGAGAGTCTCGATGCTCAATTTAATGGCGTTAAGAGATATTAAAAGAAACCAATTGAGTGAAATCGTATCTTTTTTTTTCAATGAAGAAAATAAATCATTAGGATTTAATTATCCTATCAAGTTATTCCTTATTAATTGCGGTATTCTCCTCTTTTAGTGCCTAATAATGAAAGTCTGTGGTTTACGCTCTGATATTAGGATGTAGAGACTGAAAGACACACAAAAGATTTAGACAATTTCGGTCATTGGACCTCTTGAAGTGAGAAGTTGGGAAACTTTAACCCTTTGCAGAACAGGATTAGAGAAAGGAAATGTGCAGAGTTTTACTTTTTAAAATTTGCTTATTAAGTTATGGCGATAAAATCTTTGTTTCCATCCTGGAAATGCTAGAAATTGACTTGATAAGAGGAAATAGTCAAAAATATAGCATTAGAAAGCCAGAAATATTCACAATGTCAAGTGTTATGACACGGTGTGATTTTGTACTATTTCGCTCCCCTTCACTGTCGTCGACTTAAGTAGCCTGCATACTAATTGTCCCTAAACATGCTGTAATTGCAGCTGGTTGAGAATGCTCAAGTCAAGCACTGATGATCATCCGCAACTTCAATTACCAATTTTGAAAAATTATTTCCACAGAGGCTCCAAATCGAAAATGTAATTAAAGTGATTTAAAATTAATCACTCGCTAGAAGGTGAGGCCCCGAAGAATTAATATTTTGGTAGTTCCGAAAAAGAGAAGGCAGAGAAAATGTTAAGCAGCGAAGATATTACAAGATGCGGCGGCGCGGTCTTTGGCGCGGAGGAAGACGAAGAGCGGGAGACGCAAAGGCAATTTTTTATGAATTCACAAAACCTGCTCAGCTTTCCGCCGTGGGCATATTTCGATGTTAAGCGCAATTTAATATAATTTAGATGTCAGTTCAACTTATTAAGACATCAAGTTGTGAAGAAAAATTAATTTCGCTCTGTGTGGATATTTAAAACTATACACACAATATATTTTCATATCGCGAGAGACACAGTGAGTGGTGCTGGAGATCGCTACATATGTTTTATTGGCTCCAATAAGCGAAATTAGCCAAGAAGACTTACCTGGAGATGTGGAGAATTCCTGTGCATCATAAAAACACATTTCCTCTGGTTTCAATTTTTGCACTTCTTTTTCTCGCAGCAAACTTATTTCTTCCCCCCTTTTTGTCCAAGCTGAGGAAATTAGCATGGTTTTATGATTTTACAAGAGTTCACGTTGTTGTGGATCTGTTTTCCATTGATCATTTGGCGATGCTTGAATTTGTTTATCACTTGCGCAACGCAAACACATTGAGAAGAACAGAAGAATCCCACTTCTGACACCAATTTCATGTGAAAATGCGCACAAAGTGCACCCAAAAGGCTCGCAATCGAATCCTTAGATGTCGGTTATCCAACTTTTCTGGTCATTTTGCTAAATTTCACCCATTCTGACCAACAAACGATGTTCGTAATCATTCTCATGTTCAAACATAACATTCAATTTTTGCGTGAAACAGAATACCTTTGGTGTTTAATGGATCCAACCGACGGTGTTTGCGCATAATTTGTAATGGGATTTTAAATGAATACTTGTACGAGTGCTTGTAAAAGCAGTTACGCACGGAATCTTCAGAGGAAAAAAAGTATGACGTGTTCAATCACTTGATTGCTCCCATTTTCATACCATCAATTTCGAAAAACCTCACCCAAAACATCATGA